AGTTTTAGAACCAGTTTAACGTATTTTTTAAGTTCAGACACTAAAGTGAACATCCATGACAAGTTCAAACACCACCGGTGCAATTACCTCCTAAGAAATCATCCGCCTGTTCAGCCATTGGATCAGGGTGTTTTTTTTTTTTAGGGAAATTGGATCAGGGTGTTAGCTGTCGTTGGATCACAGCAGGCAGCAGCGAGCGCGCCAGCTTCAACCCAGCGCCACTGCAGCCTCGCGCGAAGCTCCTATGAAGCACCGATGGCGTCCGATGAGTTCCAACGCGGCACCAACGCTCCGGCGAAGTTTCATTGCAACTCCGGCTGAGCTCCATTGCAGCCCGGCGGAGCTCCAACGCAGCACCACCCGCTGCAGAGCAGCTCGCGGGCTCGCCGGTGATGCTTCATTGTAGCTCCGAGCGCTGCTTCGCAGCTCTGGGCTTCGCAGGTGAAGCTCCATTGCCTCCGCCGGTGACGCACCATTGCAGCACCTAGCTCCGGGCCGCCACGCAAGCGCTGCATAGCAGCACCGGGAGCCGCCGCCGACCGCTCCATTGCAACACCGCGGCGTATGCGGCTGCGACGGCGACGGGGTGCTTCGGGCGCCGCCAGTGAAGCTTCCTTGCAGCATCGAGCTCCAGTCCGCCGTGCGAGCGCCGCGCCACAGCACCGGGAGCTAGCGACAAGCGCTCCACTGCAGCACCGCCACGCGCACGCGGCGGCGCCGTCTGCGCTGCAACGGCGACCCGGGTTCTCCGATGAAGCACGCGACGGGCGACGCGACGCAACTGCTGCGACAGAGATGCTAGCTGCGGTGGTCGCCGTCGTTTCCTCCCCTGGTTCGTAGCAGCGGTGACGACCGGAGATGGTGAAATCTCGTGGTGAATGTTGACGAATGACTCCAGCGGAAGAAGGAAAATATGTGGACGAGAGCTGCGCTGAAGATAAAGCTACGAGGGATAAGCGGTGGCGGGCCCAAGCGACACGCGTCAACCAGGAGAGGCGGCTTACACGGCGACAAAATCAGCCGGTTTTTTTAGGATCAAACAGATTACTATAGCTAGGATCATTACCAAAAAATGACGTATACTACATCACATGCATTAACCCAAACTAATTAGTGGGTACACTAAACCTAATTAACAACATGTAGTTTTTCCTAGTGATAATTGACATGATCTCCTCTGTCGTTGCCTCTCCCCCTGACCTGACCTTGAGCCTTAAGGCTAGTCATAATGGAAGTAACATAGATAATAATATAGATGTCACATAAGCAAAAATATAGATGTGGCAAGTAGTTAATAAAGATTCAGGCAAATAGAGTAACCTAATATGTTACCATCACATAGCGTTTTTCAATGTAAAATGAGTCTACAAGACAAAAAATAAACATGTGTTTGTTAGTACACATATGACACTTTTCACTATAAAGATAGTAACGTAGAATATATGCATGGGATGAGGATTTGTAGCACATAGGTGCTCCCCCACCGATATCTATGCCTCACGTTACTTTAGCCAATTCATGACATTAAATGCTGAAATCATTTTACAATTCAGAGGTACCCCTGGATACATCCGCTCAATACTATCACCGGTGGGCCCATCTTTAAATGATGGTTGTACTCTACGACACCTAATGTGTGGTGCAGACTGCCGTGACCGAATTAATTCAAATTCAGCACCAGGTGTTGCTAGTCATAATGAATGGAAATGAGTAAAAAGGAAGCTTCCCGTTAATTCAGTTTAGGACTTTCATTAAATCCGTTGAACAATGCATCTCGTTTATGATGGACGAGAGTCGATTCATTTGAGTAACTAATTATGGGAGACTCTGATAGTTGCCAAGACAAATGTTTCATAACATTTGGGGATATAATAAGAAACCTAAAAACATGATACGTGGTTGTTCCTCAATATCCAACTTCTTGGTTATAAGGCAGAAAATACACCATGGAAGACAGAAATATATCCTGGTTTACGTAATATCCAGCTTCTTGGTTATAAGTAAAAAAACATCTTACTCACAATTAAATTCAACTTAGTCAAAAATCCATATCTCCTGAAACTTAAACCAGCATCTCTGTCTTCCAGGATATTAAGTAAACTTCCTGGAACTTAATATCCTGGTTACATCTTGGAAGATAGAGAAGCTACATATAAATCTGAACTTCCTGGAACTTTTTATTTTCACATGAACTTCCTGGATCGAAGGGCAGGTAACAATTAACCAGGTGATTTTCCGCAAAAAAAAAAAAGAATTAGGCTAGCTACAGAGATCTTATTTACAAGTTCAGTTGAGCCTCAGGAAGAGATACAGAACGGCGCTAGATTGAGGATCCCCGGGATGAGGAGGACCTTGAGAGTTGGCAGCATGGATTTACTGCTCCCCATCTCGTCTGTGCCACCTATTTCTTGCTGCTCGCCGACGCCACGGGCTGCCGCTGCTCGCCGACACGGGCTGCCCCTGCCCCAGCTCCGCGTACTGCAGTTGCTGCTCGCTTCTCGCCGCCACAAGCAATCACTGCCCCAGCGGCTAGCGTTGCGTACTTCTGCTGCTGGCCGCCGCCGTTGCATACCGAATGGTGTCAGAGTTGGCGAAAAAAACAGAAAACCTCAGCGAGAAATTTTTAGGAAAGAAATTTTCAGAGAAAAAACAAGGAAAGAAAATACGATCGAGAAACAAAAATTTGCAGAGAGAAAATACGAGGAAAGACTCAACACCAAGCCGCCGAGGATCCTTGCCTAGTCGCCGACCTTCATCCCCAAAGTCTCAGCCCGTGCTGGATCTGCAGTGACCGGCTCGCACCCGAATCCATCGATGTTTATGTGCGGGGTGGGGTGGATCTGCAGTGACCGGCATGCAGAGTTTCCCTTCGAATAACATGATCAATCCGGGACAGGAAAAGTATTCACTAACCCAGTGACGCTCGCACTTGTAGAAGTGTTTCCCGGGGTTCTTGGGAGTCCGGGAAACCCACCACTCGATGTCGCCGTTGTGGCACCAGGGGCAACGGATGAGAGGAAGAGGAGGCTGCTCTTGGAGGATGGGTGCGAGGGACTGTGAGGACGAGGACGAGGCAGACATGTCGACGGGCGCCGGTGCCGGCCGGTACAGGGAGCTAGCGGATGTATTGGCAGTTTAGATCTGAGAGGATAGGAGTGGGGAACGGAAAGAGGACGAGGAAGAGGAACAGTGTCCAGGACGCGTAAATATCAGCCGATCCCCACCAACCTTGCGTTAAATGCTCCCAGGGTGGGCCGGCCCAGCGGGACAGAATACATCTGATAGGTGGGCCACGCAAGTAGAAACCCACTGGCATATACGAGACGTTTCGGTTCAATTACCTCATGGATACAAAAGTTAATACAGGGCATTGATTAGGACAGACGCGAATCTATATGAGATCCAACGGTACATTTATGCATGTATGGAGCACCTGAGTGCTTCTCTGTAATTTTCATATGCATGTTAATATTCTAAGTTACTCCTCATTATGACCAGTCTAACGCTGCCGAGAGGCGTCGCCACGATTGGTACAGACTCGAGGTCAGAGCAATAATTTCTATCACACCTCCAAATAATCACCCAATAGTGCCGCCGGCACCATGAGCACTAAAAACATCGGGGAAGCATCACCATCGATGGTTTGGTGAGTGAGAGACGAGGGTGCTACAATGGCCGCCACCAACCATGGGAGGATCGATGGCATCTACCGAGTGGGCATCTCAGCACTTTCAAGGACGTTGGCAACGAAAGATTCTTTCTTTTTCTTTGAAATCTTAGGCGCCGTCGCCTAATCAGGAGTGAAGTCTGAATTGAACCCTGAGATTGTAGAAACCGACGCAGATGAACCATCACCTCTAAATCCCTAAAATTTGTATCCTGACCTCTCTGATCCCTGTTTACTTGAACCCCAGATACATTTGGCACACCGGGAAAAGCACAATCCTAGCCGGGAACCCGCTTCTTTCACTGTGGCGCTGGTCAACGCATCATAGCCATTCGTCGTCGTTCCCATCTCTCTCCTGCTATTCTGTTTCCTCAGATCCATCAATGTCAATAGCACAGATCACATCATATGCCCGGCTCAAAAAAAAAACATAAAGCACAGCAAAGACGAGTGTCACCTTGTGTGAGCTTAGCCTGTAGTATGTGCGCATAGGAAAGCTGGTCTTTCCATGCGCGCGGCGGCGGCGAGCAGTAGCAACAGTACTGGTATGGCCAGCCGCCAGCGAGGACACCAGTTGCTTATGGCCGGGAGCAGCACCAGCCACAGTAGTACGCCGCGCCGGCGAGCGGCACCAGCAGTACCACGCCGTTGAGATGGTTCTACTTCATCGACAAGGGCACCTACCTCGCCGTCCTCGCCTGCTTCAGGGATGACCAAGATCTCTCCGGCCGCCGCCGGCGTTACCCCTGTCACCGCCGTCGTCCGCGGGCTGGACGGGCTGGGCTGGATGGCGTGCCCAAGCAGCTGCTCCGCTCTCAGAGGCTGCCGTGGCAGGTGTCTTCCTGCATTACCGACGGACTGACGGTGCCGCACGGGCACCTCAAATCAGATGGGGCGGCGCAGCTCCAGACAAACGAGGCGTCAATGGCCGAGGACGAGCTAAACTTTCTGCACCACGTTCGTCTGTTTGTTTTGTGTACGTGCACACATCAATTAGCCGGCGGCTAGAATCGATCCACCGGCCATGCACTCGTGAGGAAGAGATTGGGGAAGAAGATGCGTATGACATATGGGCCCACGTAGTAAGTGACAGTAGAAACAATCCCGGCTGGGATCGTGCCTTTCCTATTACGCTAAACATGATTTTACTGATACAAGGTCAGGATTAACCGGGATCTGTAAATATAGCGTATCAACTTCAGGAATTTAGAGATGAGGGTTTGTTTTCGTCAGCCTCTACAACCTCAAGGTTTATTTCAGACTTCACTCCCTAATCAGCCCGGTCTGCTTCAAGTACTAGTATCACCATCGTCTAAGCACCAATCACTCTGCAATGGATTATTTGGGCATAGTCGTGGCACTGGTTGTCGCCGCCTCGTCCATTGCCATCCACCTCCTCAGCAGGGCCAAGAAAAGACAGCCGGCCAACCTGCCCCCGGGCTCCCTCGGCCTGCCGGTGATCGGCCAGAGCCTCGGCCTCCTCCGGGCCATGCGCGGCGGCGACGGCGGCAGCCGGTGGATACAGGACCGGATCGACAAGTACGGGCCCGTGTCGAAGCTGTCGCTGTTCGGCACGCCGACGGTGCTCCTGGCCGGACCGGCGGCCAACAAGTTCCTCTTCTTCAGCAGCGCGCTCTCGACGCGGCAGCCCCGGTCCGTGCAGCGGATCCTCGGGGAGAACAGCATCCTGGGCCTCCACGGCGCCGACCACGGGCGCGTCCGCGGCGCTCTGCTCGAGTTCCTCAAGCCGGACATGCTCAAGATGTACGTGGGCAGGATCGACGCCGAGGTGCGGCGGCACGTGGAGGAGAACTGGGCCGGCCGCGGGACCGTGACGGTGCTGCCGCTGATGAAGCGGCTGACGTTCGACATCATCTCCGCGCTGCTCTTCGGGCTCGAGAGGGGCGCCGTGCGGGACGCGCTGGCCGGCGACTTCGCGCGCATGGTCGAGGGCATGTGGGCCGTCCCGGCGAACCTGCCGTTTACGGCGTTCAGCCGGAGCCTCAAGGCCAGCGGCAGAGCCCGGCGGGTGCTGGCGGGGATCACGCGGGAGAAGAAGGCCAGGCGGTGCCAGCCGGAGCACCGCAAGGCGCCGTCGCGGAGCAACGACCTCATAACCTGCCTGCTCGGCCTGACGGACGGCCATGGCGAGCGGCTGCTGAGCGACGAGGAGATCGTGGACAACGCCATGGTCGCCCTCATCGCCGGCCACGACACGTCGTCCATCCTGATGACGTTCATGGTCCGCCACCTCGCCAACGATGACGCCACCCTCGCCGCCATGGTCCAAGGCAAGTGGCCAGTGGCCAGTGAATCAATCGTTCCAACCTGCCATGGTTGCTCATGATGTGTGCTTTGTTTCGTCTTTCGTGACACAGAGCATGAAGAGATCGCCAAGAGCAAAGGCGACGGAGAGGCTCTCACATGGGAAGATCTGACGAGGATGAAGTTCACATGGCGAGTCGCCCAGGAGATCCTCCGCATCGTCCCTCCACTCTTCGGCAACTTCAGAAGAGCGCTGGAGGACGTGGAGTTCGACGGCTACCTCATCCCAAAAGGATGGCAGGTCAGTTGCTTGCTGCTAGTCAATTCGCCTCCTAGCTTAGCCATCATAGTCGTCGGAGGCTGAGATGAGAAAGCTTTCAGGTGTTCTGGACGTCGAACGTGACGCACATGGACGCGAGCATCTTCCACGAGCCGGCCAAGTTCGACCCGTCCAGGTTCGAGAACCAGGCAGCGCCGCCGTGCTCCTTCGTCGCCTTCGGGGCCGGCCCGAGGCTATGCCCCGGGATAGACTTCTCCCGGATCGAGACGCTGGTGACGATGCACCACCTGGTGAGGCAGTTCAGATGGAAGCTCTGCTGCAAGGAGAACACCTTCGTGAGGGACCCCATGCCGTCGCCGCTGCGTGGCCTGCCCATCCAAATCCAGCACAGGACCTCCCCTCCTCCACCGTGACCAAGCTTCTTCACAGCAATCTCACTGTCATCGTCGTTCGCATTGCATAGAAAATGTAGCTGTTGCGGCACGTGTATGTGTTATGAGTAACAAATCAAAAATAAATGGGTCTGGCTAGGACTCAGTCTACTAAGACTTCGTGAAGTCTCAATCGGCCGATGTCTTAGGAGCCTTTGTTCTTTGTTTTTGTTTGCTTGTCTTTTTTTTTCGAGAGTACGCAAAATGCGTACCATAGCTTTATAGAAGAAGAAAAAACAATTACGAGACAACTAACACTTGCTGCGAATAACAAGCGTAGCACCAACTCCACATCCGGCTAGTCCAAAGACAGCCACCAACAACCACACAACTACAAAGCAAAAGAGCCTGCCCAACACCGAAAACATTGTCGCGTCTCGACCGACAAAGGTCACCACCGAAGAGCAGCAACTTCCACCAAGCATCTCTTGTCGACGCACCATCCTCCCTTGATGCCTAGGAGATGGCAAGAGGATGGCAGGACCCGATCTGACCCGAGGAAGACGCCGTCTTGAAATCACCGTGAGGATCGTGCATAGCACCAAGTGAGCGATTATGGGCAGCGGCGAACACCGGGGGAGCGCAACAAGGGACAACCAGACCATGTCTCCTAGCACGATGCACCCAACAGAGGGACGACGTTGAAGACGCCGCCATCGTGCCGACCCAGCACCGGATCAAGGCTTTCGCCCGGAGACAATTGCCAACACCAAGCGAGCGAGGGAGATGGCGACACACTCGGCGACGCCTCCAAGGAGGGAAACGACACCCACGGGTGCCATCGCCGCCGGCCCGGCCACAACCGGACAGGACTTTCATCCGTAATGCCATGCATCTCCGCACCTCCAGGTATAGGCACAGCCGACCAAGAAGTCTCGCACCGCCGTCACCGTAGCAACTTGCCATCGAAGCCGTGCAGCCAAGGTCCTCCCACACCCGCACTGCTGAGAGAACGCGACCAACAGCCACAAACCACCCAGACGAGGAGCCGCAGCAGCTAACCATGCCGTGCAAGGGCTGAATCCAGCACGACGGCCTTCACCCGCTCCAGGTGACTGCCGCGCAACGAACTCAACCCCAAGGCCAGATTGAATCTGGGGGAAATCCGATCTGGCCAGCACCTCCCTCCCCAGCTCCGGCGCCATCGCATCCAGGAGCAACCCAACGCGCCCAGCACCCTGAGGCGGCCGGCCGCCCGCTGCCCGCCATGAACTCCCTCCTGGCAGGGCCTCGCAGCGCCGCCGCTGCCAAAGCCCGGAGCTCGCGCCGTCGCCCCCATCTGAGCCGGCGCCCCATCCTCCGCCACCACTCTACTACGGTCATGGCCCGAGTTCACCTCTCCGCCGCGCCTCCGCCGTGCGCCAGCGACAGCCGCCGCCGATCCCGCCGCCGGCCATCACACCACCAGGCAGCCCCGAAGACGTCCACTCCGCGCGAAGGAGCCCGTCGGGGAGGTGCACCTCCAGCACCCGCCGCCTTCGACGGCCGGGCGCGGCCACCACCGCCGGCGCCGGCGGCGGCAGCGGCCGGGGCGGTGGATCTGGGCCTCTTTTGTTTAGGGTTTGGGGAGCCTCCGGAGCTGCACGCACGTGCGACCCGGGAGGCGTTTTCACAACCCGAGGAAAGAGGATTGGGGGTGCTTGCTTGTCTTCTTAAGTGTGCTGCTTTTGTCCAAAGCTTGTCACGTGTTGGGCTGTCCTTTTCTTCTGTTGTCTTTTGCTAGGTTGTCTTGTCTGATGTACTTTCTTTTTACAATCTTGTCTCATATACTTGGTTGGTTGGCCTTTCAAGCTTCTTCACAGTAATCTCACTGTCATCGTCGTTCGCATTGCATTAGAAAATGTTGCTGCTGCAAGTGTACTGGCCATGAGTAATAAATCAACGTATTTGTTAATTATTGTCTAGATAAAAACTACTACATCATTTAATTAATAAAAAAATCCGCATGAATCTTTACGTATATCAAATGGAGCAGGAGTTAGAGAAGACTTAGTTAATTTTGATCTAGATGAGTGGTAGCCACACCGTAAAAAACTTGATCCATGGGAGCATGTAGCAGTAGCCAAGAGCCTTTTTTTTCTCAAGTGGGATGTCCTTGTGAAGAATATAGTAAGAGCATCTATAGCCGGGCACATCAAACCCACACCATAGGCCCGGGCGGGCCGCCCGGGCCTGTTTAGTCATGTTATTTTTTGACCCAGACGGGCTCCTTAAACGGGCCTCAAACATCTGGGCTGGCCGGCACCCCATATCCAGCCTAAATATGGGGCGGATATGAGGGCGTCCGGGAGTGCCCGAGCACACCCGTCACATAGGGCGGACGAAGGGGACTCATCCGGACTCACCCGTAAACCCGGCGGTCCGACGGACGCCTCCTCCGTCGTCGCGGTGTGGATGCCGCGCGGCGCCGCTCCGGCTCGCCGACCGAGAGCAAATCAGCCTATTTAAGCCGGCAGGAGTCCCGCAACCCTAGTCCATCCACCACCACCACCCACCCCCCCTCTCTGTGCCGCCAGCCCGAGCCCATCCATCTCACCCATCTCCCCCTCCAGTGCTCTGTCCATGCTCTGGCGCTCCGCCATGGTCCGGATTAAGACCACGTACTACGCAATGCTCACGCCGGAGCGCCGCACCGAGATCCAACAGCAGATCCGGGTGAGACATGCCGCGCGCGCAGCCCGCATCGCTGCCGGCCTGCCTTCGGACTCGCCGGAGCCAGAGGAGGAGAAGCAACTGGGGGAAGATGAGGAGGAGGAGTTGGCACCTGTAGGATCGGAAGTATGTCTAGAGAGGGGGTGATTAGACTACTTGACCAAATAAAAATTTATCATTTTCCCAATTTTAGTTCTTGGCAGATTTTAGCTCACTTAGCTCAAGTCAAGCAATCTTAACACAATTCAAGCAAGCATGCAAAGAGTATATGAGCAGCAGAAAGTAAAGCATGCAACTTGCAAGAATGTAAAGGGAAGGGTTTGGAGAATTCAAACGCAATTGGAGACACGGATGTTTTTGTCGTGGTTCCGATAGGTGGTGCTATCGTACATCCACGTTGATGGAGACTTCAACCCATGAAGAGTGACGACTGCGCGAGTCCACGGAGGGCTCCACCCAAAAGGGGTTCACGAAGAAGCAACCTTGTCTATCCCACCATGGTCGTCGCCCACGAAGGACTTGCCTCACTAGCGGTAGATCTTCACATGAGGCTTTGTAAGCACCACTTGACTTGTTATGGAGCTCCTCCTTATCCTTCAGTGACATCTCATGAGCAACAATTCTTTCAATGACTTCCGTTGGCTTGAGATTCTTGTAATTGGGCATCATTTGGATCAATGTGCACACGGTATCATATTTTCCATCCAATGCTCTTAGGATCTTCTTGATGATGAATTTGTCGGTCATCTCTTCACTTCCTAAGCCGGCAATCTCATTTGTAATGAGAGCAAGCCTAGAGTACATTCCAGCGATGCCTTCACCATCCTTCATCTTGAACTTGTCAAGTTGACTTTGAAGCACATCCAACTTGGATTCCTTGACGGAGTCGGTACCTTCGTGCATATCAATCAAAGTATCCCAAATTTCCTTTGCATTCTCAAGACGGCTGATTTTGTTGAATTCTTCGGGGCACAATCCATTGAAGAGTATATCACAAGCTTGAGCGTTGTATTGCAGCATCTTCAACTCATCCGTGCTAGCTTCACGGTTCGGTTCTCTCCCATCAAACAATTCACCTTGCAAGCCAATACACACAATAGCCCAAACGACGGGGTTATGTTCGAGAATATGCATTTTCATCTTATGCTTCCAACTAGCAAAATTTGTACCATCAAAGTAAGGACCTCTACGGTGGTAGTTTCCCTCGATAGACGCCATACTCTCCTAGGTTGTGAAACCGAGGCTATGACCACCAAAAGCTATGGAAATCAAAGCAAATGGAGACCAAAGCTCTGATACCACTTGTAGGATCGGAAGTATGTCTAGAGGGGGGGGTGATTAGACTACTTGACCAAATAAAAACTTATCCTTTTCCCAATTTTAGTTCTTGGTAGATTTTAGCTAACTTAGCACAAGTCAAGCAATCTTAACACAATTCAAGCAAGCATGCAAAGAGTATATGAGCAGCGGAAAGTAAAGCATGCAACTTGCAAGAATGTAAAGGGAAGGGTTTGGAGAATTCAAACGCAATTGGAGACACAGATGTTGTTGTTGTGGTTCCGATAGGTGGTGCTATCGTACATCCACGTTGATGGAGACTTCAACCCACGAAGGGTAACGGTTGCGCAAGTCCACGAAGGGCTCCACCCAAAAAGGGTCCACGAAGAAGCAACCTTTTCTATCCCACCATGGCCGTCGCCCACGAAGGACTTGCCTCACTAGCGGTAGATCTTCACGAAGTAGGCGATCTCCTTGCCCTTACAAACTCCTTTGTTCAACTCCACAATCTTGTCGGAGGCTCCCAAGTGACACCTAGCCAATCTAGGAGACACCACTCTCCAAGAAGTAACAAATGGTGTGTTGATGATGAACTCCTTGCTCTTGTGCTTCAAATGATAGTCTCCCCAACACTCAACTCTCTCTCACAGGATTTGGATTTGGTGGAAATAAGATTTGAGTGGAAAGCAACTTGGGGAAGGCTAGAGATCAAGATTCATATGGTAGGAATGGAATATCTTGGTCTCAACACATGAGTAGGTGGTTCTCTCTCAGAAAATGTAAGTTGAAAGTGTAGGTTTGTTCTGATGACTCTCTCCATGAATGAAGAGGAGGTGGAGGGGTATATATAGCCTCCACACAAAATCTAACCGTTACACACAACTTGCCAATCTCGGTGTGACCAAAGTGAGAAACTCGGTCGGACCGATTCAGCAAATCTAGTGACTGTTAGGATTTTCGTGGGACCGGCATGCAACTCGGTAGGACCGATATGGTTAGGATTAGGGAATAACGTAATCTCGGTGAGACCGATTACACAAACTTGGTGGGAC